AACGAGGACCGCATCAATATGGGTACTACATAGTACGCCATCATTGCGACTGCTTGCGTACGCTTGCATTGCGAGTCGGTATGAGTTAGCCCTGCGGCCCCACGGTTTTATACTAAGCCTCATGCGCGACGCCTATCCGATTTCCGCGCTGGAAGGTTATGGGATGGCTACCTAGGGACTAGGAGCGTTGTCGAGTTGGTTGTGTTGCGTAGTTTCCGTGCATGTGTGTGTGTGTTTTATTTTTGCGTTCGTAAAGTGGTGTGCGCGCGGTGCATGGGATGCGTCATAGTCGACCGACGACGGGCCGCGCTAGGGACCTCAGCCCCCCCAAGACGGCGGTTCGCGTGCGGGTCCGATAGAGGCGTATTACCGCGCGTACCCCCTATGCTACAGCGAACGAGAAACGCCCTCGGCTGGTCCACCTCTGCGATTGCAACTGATTAACTTTCGTATTGTGGACTGGTAGCTTGGCGGGGATACGCCCACCGAAGGGAGGTGACAACTCCCGTAAGGTGGAGGTAAGTCGTGCCTCGAGTAGGCCTTATCCTGTCGTAGGGGCTCGTGGAAGGTATGGTTGGCGCACTCGGCCGGAGCGGCTTGCGGAAGCTCCATGTATATTCGCGACGAAGGATTTAAACCAACTCCTGCGTGACGCGGCCGGGAGGGTCCCGCGCTGCCTTGTGCGGTGCCGAACCGATGCGCTCGACAGGTGGCGCCGTTGCCGGGGATAATGGAAGCCTACCGTTGTCCCGGGTGGAACGACATCCGGGTATGGGAATGAGAGAGAATCAGGCATGATTGGGTAGATGATGAGTGAGCGACGTGGTACTTTGTGTGGTTATGCGTATGTAAAACTTGATTACTAATGGATCTAGCTGGAAGTTGAGGTGGCTCCGTGATTAAAAGATTGTATAAAAAGTCTCTTGAAGGGAGTAGGCTTTGTTAGAATAAGCCTGGTAGCAGGAGTAGTGCCCGGGAGGTTGAGAGGATGTAGGAAAGGAGGGAAGACCTGATAGAAGTATATCATTGTGGGTTGCTGAATGAAGCTTTCCATTTCTTCTCTTAGCAGGAAGTTTGAGCAAGAGGTAGCCAACCAAGATGTCAGGGGGAGGGGGCGCCCCCTCGAGGAAGACCCTGACGCTCGACGACCTCATCGAGGCCCTTGACAAGCGTGAGAGGGCGCCGAGCAATGTTCCGAAAGTTGATACATTCCATTTCAAAGGGGAGCGAGTATCTGATTGGCTGGATTTGACTGAGCAGGCGCTGGTGGGACTGGCATACGAGGTAAAGTTTCAACGGATTCTGAAGTACGTCCTTCATAGCCACCATCAGGAAGTGAGCAAGGTTGTGGACGCCGCCAATGACAGTTGGGCAAGGTTTAGGGACCTGATGTTAAGGAAGTACAGGCTGGGAGACGACCTGCTGACCATGGCTGACTTGGAAGCCATGAACAAGGATGACTTTTCCACGATCGGGGCATTCGTGCACGAGTTCAAGAAGAAGGCAAGGAAGGTGCACGGGATCTCTGAAGAGGCGCAGTGTGCCATATTCTTGGGGTTGCTTACTGGCACGGAGGCATCGGAACTGACGAGTCACGGAGGAGGAAGTGAGAAGCTCACCTGGGCTACTATTGATAAAGGAGTGGAAGAGGGGAGTTTGGACCAGGTGGAGCAGCACCAGATGTGGCTACAGAGGCGCAAAAGAAAGGAGAGGGACGCCACCACATCTGGGACCCCGGGGGAAAAGAGAATCGTTACGGACGTGCTGGCGGCGTTGGGGTATGATAATGAGGCGGAGGTACAGAAAAGGGGAGTGACCGTGACCCAAGGTCGGGTATCAGGGGCAGCGGATGAGGAGGTAGGACGTGAGGACTACGGTGGGGAGGAAACGGGCTCCCAGGTCCTGACTAAAACCCAGTGAAAGCAATGCAACTTGCTGTTGGGAGGTCAAGGATCGGGAAAGGGGCAGACCCCTCAAGCAATTGCTGCACCACCACCTGCCGCCACAACGACGCCGGTGTCAGCAGGGTCATCGCAAATGGGGCCGCCGCCAGCTTGTGGGCACTGGGTGCCGTATTGTCAGGTGACACCCTGACCCAGTTGTAGCCACTGCACTTCGTGTGGAGGAAGCCAAGCCCACGCCGAACAGATGGTCCCATATTCGGGCCCACCGACAAGTGTGGGTCCACCAAGCTATCCTGCGACCCAGGGTCACTTTGTGGCCTAACTGCCACCCTCACAACAGGCATCGCAGGCTAGCGTGGCCGGAGGAGGGAATCAGGGACAAGGCGGACAGGGCAATGGAGGCCGAGGCCAAGGGGGTCGAGGAGGCGGTGGCCGAGGCCGAGGAAGAAATGACGGGGGTCGAGGAGGTGGATGGAATGGCCAAGGAGGCCAGGACCAAGCTGGCCAAGGCGGCCAGGAAGGGGGCCAAGGGTATGGGAGGCCCCACTTTGATTGGCGGAGTGCCACCTGCTGGCATTGTGGCTACCAAGGCCACACTATACGATTTTGTCAACTGCGGCGGGATGACGAGCTCTCCAGTTTGATCTCCACCAACATGGATGGAGACATATATGATAAATATGGGAAGTACATTAACCTGAAGACACCCGGCGGAGTCAGGCAGGAGGCCCAGAGGTGAGCGGCGGCAGGGCCAGCACCCCCAGCCATGTTTAGGATGTGGCAGGAGAGAGAGGACCCGGTTATAAGGGTCGAGAAGATTGCGGGGGAAAGTGATGAGGTAACTTAGCGGCTGAAGGCAGAGACTATAAAGGAGGGGCCGATAGTCGTTGAGTCAGACGACGAAGGGCAGGAAGGCGAAAGAGAGTCGACCATAGTCATCTTGGGGAAAATGGAAGATCTGCTGAAGAAGGTGGGTAGATACCAGCAGGTGCTGCAAGCCTTGTGTGACGAGACCCGGGAGTGGAGGGCCGACCTCCCCGGAGTCTTCCTATATGACTCCGGGCCCGAACCTTCATCAGGGCAGCAGGGATACCCAAGAGTGGCGACCGTGGGGGCGGGCCCTAGGTCGGGTATGACCTATATACCCCCCACCTCACATGGGAGAGTGCCACAGGCGGCGCGAACCAGGAGCCAAAATAAGGCTGGAACTAGCCAAGAACCCAGCCAGGCGCCCAGTCAGGCACCCCCTCGAAAGGAGCCCGAGCCGGGGTGCAGGAAAGAGGTGGTGGAGGTTCCAGAGGAAGACGAGGAGGACGATGACGAGGAGGATGAGAGGCTTCGGTTAGAGGAGGACCGGCGGGCGGAGCTAAGGGCCAAGAAGAGAGGGGCTCAAGAAGGAGCCGAGTCGGGCCTGCCTGACAACGTATCTAAAAGGAAGAAGTATGCAGTCCGTCTGGAAGAGGGGTTCGATGTAGAGCGGATGGTGGACAGGCTCCTGGAAGGTCATAATGACCTAATGAACTTAAAGGATATCCTAGCGTCGGCACCAAGGCTCCGTGACGGACTGAAGGGATGGCTCTCGCGAAGACTAGTGCCCAACGTCCACCTGAGTACGATCCTGCCAAGAGAGGTAGAATGGACTGAGGCAGGGACGAGGATGGACTGGAAGTGTGTGGCGTGTGGCCAGGTGGATTTGGTGGTAAGGAACCAGAAGTGTACCGGGATGATGGACACGGGCGCGGAGATGAACATCATCAGAGAGAGGGAAGCGGTGATGTTGGGAATAGAGATTGACCTCTCGGATCATGGCATGCTGCACGGTGCCAACTGCAAGGCTGCCTTTTGCGGTACGGTGTCCAATGTGATCATAGAGATTGAGAAGGTACGGGCGAGGACTTGTTTCTTCGTTATGCCCGATGTTGATCACTCTATCCTCTTGGGGAGATCGTTCCTGTGCCGCACGAAGACCCTGATTTTTAATAAGCACGATGGAACGATGATCCTGCTCCTGTGTGATCCGGCGTGCGGAAATTATGAGGTCATTACTTGCCGGAACACGGGGCCAGGGAGTGGGAGGAACAAGCCCAACCTTGGCTCGTTAACCTTTGAAGAATCTGATAACGAGCGGCGGAGGCTCTGGGAGGTGTCTGAGGAGAAAGGAGGGACTGAAGTGCTGACGCTAAGCCTTACTGATGTCAATAAGGCTATGGAAGTGGTGGCGGCTCATGACATGGCAGATCCTGAAGCCATTAAAGCGCTGAGGGAGCAGGTTTTGGAGAGCCCCCAAGTGGGAGAGGTGGAGCTGGTCTATCGGCTTCCAGGCAGAAGGGGAGGCCCGACAATGGCAAAGGCGCGAACGGTAAGCCGGCCTTTTTTAGGGGACGGCTTCAGCAGGGCTCCCAAAGGCGGTACAAAATGGTAGATAAAAAGTGCCGCCCAGTTCCCGTGCTCGTTACTAAGGATTAGGAGGCTTATTACGAGCGGGAACGAGGGTTGATACGGCGCATGCGGGAGCAGGCAGCCAGTGGTCCGTGCCGTATCAACGATGAGAACGAAGGGAAGCTGATAATTGGAGAGCCTGACTTCCTTTCGCCCCAAGAGAGAGCTCTAATGGTGGGGTTGATGAAGGAAAGGCACCGCGCGTATGCATTCAGTGATGATCAACATGGGAGGCTGGATGTGGACAGGATTCCGATGATTCGGATCCACACAGTCCCACATGAGCCATGAAATTTGAGAGGCATGCGGTACCCTAATCTGGATGAGGAGAAGGTGGTGGTGGACTACCTGGATGGCAAGATGCGCACGCACGCTGCCGATTACTCCAGCGGGCCGTATGCATCCCCTTGGTTTTGTTTTATCAAGCCAAATGGGACGTTACGGTGGGTACAGGATTTGCAGCGGTTAAACGAGGTGACGGCGCGAGATGCGGGAGGATTGCCAAACGCGGACGCATTATCAGAGTCATGCGCAGGAAGACCTATAATCTCGCTTATAGACCTCTACTCAAGGTATGACCAATTTCCTGTATACCCACCAGACAGACCTGTGACAACGATGCATACGCCCAGAGGGCTAATTCATATGAACGTAGCCCCTCAAGGCTGGACGAATGCAGTGGCAATGGTGCAAAGGCATATGATTAGAGTCATGCAGACGGCCAGTCCGCACATTACCCAGCCTTATATTGATGACTTGGCGGTCAAAGGGCCGAAAGAAAGGGAAGAAGATGAGGTGATGCCCGGCGTAAGGCGGTTTGTTTGGAAGCATGTCCAAGACCTTGATTAGGTCCTGAGCTTGCTGGAAGAGTACAACCTTACAGCAAGTGGCCCGAAGTCCAAGCATTGTATGAGGGAGGCGACCATCCTAGGTTTCGTCTGTAATGAGAATGGCCGAAGGCCCGATGTGAAGAAGACAGACAAAATCGTGGAGTGGCCAGTACCCTTCCGCTCGATAACGGACGTAAGGAGTTTCCTCGGCACTTCCAGATTTTGGAGAAACTTCGTGAAAAACTTTGCTGCCAAGACTGAGCACTTAAGGAAGCTGGCGCGTCAGGATCAGGAATGGATTTGGGGTGGAGATCAGGAAGAGGCTGTGAAAAGAATGAAGGCAGAATTTAAGGAAGGGGGTCCGGTGTTGGGGGCGCCGAACTACGAGGTCACTGAGGAGAAGCCGTTCATCATTGAAACGGATGCTGGACCTACTGCCTTGAGAGGAGTTTTGGTTCAGGCGGATGCCGAAGGAAAGGAGAGACCGCTAAGGTTCGAGAGTCGGACTCTCAATACGACTGAGAGGAACTACTCTCAGGTTAAGAAGGAGACGCTGGCGGTGGTCCATTGCCTGAGGATTTTCCAGAACTACGTCTTTGGCAGAAGGTTCATATTGAGGGTGGACCCTACTGCGCTTGCCAGTTCCCTGAAGAACTATACCCCATCTGACCCAACCGTCGCAAGGTGGTTGACGTACATTTAGATGTTCAACTTCGAGCTGAAGAGGATTCCAGGGGACAAGAATTGGGCAGACAGGTTGAGCCGCATCAACTGGGATGGGACGGATCAGGAATCGATAGAGGAGACTCTGCCAGTTGATGGGTTTTTGGATCAAGAAGAGGACGTCCGCCTTCATATAAACGAATGGTCCCTGCGAGTACCTAGTTGTGTCGGTCACCCCATATGGTTAGCGCCTAAGGGGTACGAACAAAAGGAGGAGTTGGTCCTCAAGCCCTTCCAGGAGGAGGATCCGTGGGGAGGTAGAGACATCCACTGGATGATGGAGCTGGCATTGGCAGGCACACACAGCTTGGCGGAGGAAGTAAGGACGATAGAGGAAGGTCCAACTCAGGTACAAGAGCATGAACAGTTAATGGGGGGAATGTACATGCTCGCTAACACACTTTTGCAATGAGATTTCGATCGGAAGGACTCTTTTAGTCATATGGAGAGTGAGGACGTCATTCCTGAAAGCCGGGATAATGAGTTCGAGGAGGGGGATATCAAGGAAGCTTTTCGTGCAGAAAAGTATGATGGGATCTACCTGGAGCTAGGGCTACTCCTGTCCTGTGAGATGAGGGATAGAGACGCAAGTGCCAAAGCGCAGAAGATGAGGCACCTCTACGTAGTAAGAGACAACCATCTGTTCATAAAACGGCAGGTCGGGAATCCTAAAAGGATTGTGTGTGGGAGGAACCGGCAGATCGATATTATAACAGCCCTACATGATGGTATGGCATGAGGGCACAAAGGGATAAGTGCCATGTGCGCAAAGGTAAGCGAATTGTACCATTGGGATGGGATGCTGACTATGGTCATTAAGTACTGCCAGTCTTGTGTGCCTTGCCAGAAGAGGTCGGCGCAAAGGCCAGGGGAGCCTCTACACCCGAGGCTGGAGAGGGAAGTGGGTGCGGTTGTACACCTGGACCTGCTGTTCATGCCAGCGGGGGAGAATGGATGTAACTACATTTTCGATGCATGGGATAACCTTACTGGGTTTGTGGATGGTCGGGCTATCCGCACAAAGACCGGCCCAGTTTTGGCAAATTGCATCGAGGAGTATTACTTGCGCTACCCTTTTGTCAAAGAGTTCGTGATGGATCGAGGATTGGAGTTCACCTGTAACGAGGTGCGAACCTTGCTTGCAGGGTACGGCGTAGTGGCAAATTATAGTACTGCCGCGAACCATCAGGCGAACGCACCTGTGGAAAGAGGGCACAATACCATCACGAATCTCTTGGCCAAATGGACGGAAGGCAAGCCTGGTCAGTGGCCGAAGTTCCTGCGAGCGGCCTTCTTCGTGGAGAATGTCACGGTGAAGAGAACCACCAAGTACGCGCCAACCACGTTATGGTATGGGAGGCATGCCACCCTTCCCATAGAAAGCTTCTTAAAGACTTGGAGGCGCCAATACTTGGAGGTTGATTTGTCCTTCGAGGAATTACTCGATATCCGGGCACGGCAAGTAGGGGCTGTCGAAGAGAGGTTGCGAGAGGCTGTCGGTCAGGTAGAAAGGAGCCGCATGGAGGACAAGATGAGATGGGACCATATGGCGCGAGTGAGGAAGGAGCCGTTGGCAGTAGGGGATGTCGTATTAGTGTACGACTCCTCTCTGGAGAAACAGTGGTGAGAAAGCTCGACAAAAGATGGATGGGGCCTTATAGGATCTTGCGGTGCGTCGAATTTGGAGCCTACCAGATCGAGGAGCTGAACGGAATAGGATAGCAGGACTGGGTATCAGGGACCAGGTTAAAAAAAATTGTGGCCAGGGAATAGGTAAAGAGTCCCACACCCTTCCGAGTAAACCCTTGTTTAAAGGTGTCGCATGTCCTGGTTAGGCTAGGTGGAAGATGAAAAGAGGTAAGGGTATATGTGTTGCTGAAGACTTGATGGACTGATGACTGACCTTGTTGAGTGCCTGTCTGCTTTCTCTCGCCTGATGTGCAGGTCTGACTTTTCGAAGACAGCCATGCAGAGGGGCGGGAGGGGCGCACGGCCACGACAGAGGCCCCTGGGAGCATCTGGAGGGGGTGGTCAGCGCAGGCCAATTGGGAGAGAGTCCACGCCTGTCTTCGACGATGATAACATAGAGCTCTTCCTGGATGCCTACCAGGCTCATGCGGCACGAGAGGGATGGTCTACCTTGGAGAGGATACGACATCTGAGGGGAGTTGGGCGTTTTGAGGAGCCGATCTCGCATATCCGGGAGGAGGCTTTGACCTGGCAGGATGTGGAGGCGAGGATGCAGAGGCTGAGGGCTTCGCCGCTAGGATGTGATGGTTTGCCTATTCAGCTGGAGGAAGGTAATGCAGAGGAGTTCATTCCAGCCTACGAGCAGTATATGCGCGATCAGGGGACTGGGCAAGAGGAGTGGATGCAGACGCTACCCCTCTGGACGTGAAGGGCGGAAAGGCCATTGGCAAGGCAGATTCGAGACAGGGCGCATGATTGGGAGGACTGTCAGGCTCAGCTGAGGCAGGCGTTCCGACGGCCAGAACCAGAGAGACCTGAGCCCAGGGTTAAGAGGAGGCAGAGAAGCAAGAGGCCACGGGACCCGGAGGCGAGAGAGGCCGCTGCGACTAGAGGAGGCCGAAAGGCTTTGGCACGGCGAGAGGAGGAGCCAGCAGAGCCATTTCAGGCGGTGGAGCCGGTTCAGGCAGCAGAGCCAGTTCAGGCAGCAGGGCCAACTCAGGCATCAGATCCACCCCCTACCCATGGGCTTGAGCAAGTGGAGTTTCGCCGGATCACATGCAGTGACTTACAAGGCCCGTCGTCGACACTGCTAGAGGAGAGGGAGGCTGTATCGTTGAGGACGCCGCTCGACAGTTTGGAGGCCCATCCCGATGCGTCCCAATGGGAGACTTCGCAGTTGGGGGCAGACCCAGGCGAGCCAGCGCGGTACGAGCCGACAGAAGAACCATCAGGCCTTGAGCCGGAGGCCGAGCCGCATGAGCCAGGGGAGTTGCGAACCGAGGAGGTTATTACCGTTGGGGATGATACCCCTCCTCCCACACCAATCTCGGAGCGGGTACGGCAGTACTGGCCTGAGGGAATTCCTGAGCCGGATAGCGAGGAGATTCCAGTACCGCCATCGGAAACTATTATGCCGCCTTCGAAGCAGGCAGAGCCAGAGAAGCGAGAGGGGAGCGAGGGGGCGAGGACACATACGACTGTGGCACCACAGCTAGCCGAGCATGCAGCTGAGCCTATGGACACTGAGGTGCCGATTTTCGAGGAGCCACCGCCAGAGTTGCCGCCAGCAGAGGAGGGGGTGAGTGCAGGAGTTCCACTGCGAGAAGCCCACGAGATGCGAGCGGAGAGGCCACCAAGGGAGACGACTGAAGAGAAGTTCGCAAGAGTGCAGGTGCGCCTCGAGGAGATATACGAGAATAAGGTTAGGATGGAGGCCGCAGGGGAGATGCCGACGCCGCCAATCGATCCCGGGACGAGTGAGCAGAGGATTGGTGAGGCGTGGGCTAGCTATGAGGGTAAGAGGGATGCTGGCCGTTTGAGGTCGCGAGAGGCAGGGAAGAAGGACGAGAGGATGGACGAGGCACGAGAGACGGGAGACTTGGGAATTTCAGCCGCCAGGATGGCCATCGAGCGTACAGACAGGAGGGTACGCCAGGCAACGACCACGTCCTTCCAGCGGTATACCATGATTAGCGATGAGTTGGCGGCTTCAAGGTTGGAGGTGGAGCAGCTGACTACCCAGTTAGCGGAAGAGAAGGCGGAAAACCAAGCCTGGAGGTCTCGTATGGAAGCCAAGGAAGCTGAATGGGAGAGGAGGCTCAAGGATATGGCGACAACTGTGGAGAGACTTTCGACCACCAAGGTGGTCGACTGGACAGAGCAGAGTCGATATGGTATCCAGGGAGAAGAGGTGCGGGGACTCTTTGGCCAGAGCCGCCTCAGCAAGAGGGGATGAAGAAGGTATTCCTGGATCCAGCGGAAGCAGAAGCAAGGCGGAAGGCCGAGGAGAAGGGTTTCAGCTTCAAAGCTCCCACAGAGTTGGCCTCACAACAGGCCACCCCTATGACGATTGAGACCCCTGCGGGCGAGTCAACGCAGAGACCCCAATCCCCACTAGTGGAAGGGGGTCCAGCAGAGGAGTCCCCTACGATTCTTTTGGAGGTGCGGGGAGGTACCCTTACGGGGGCAGTGGCGTCCGCTGAACCAGAGGCAATGGAGGAGGAGGCGTCGTGCCTGGACGAGCTAGTGGCAGCTATGGAGCTAGATATGCCACCAGGGGGACCTCAGAGGCACGGAGCCCCGGAGCGTGTGCTGGAATTGGGAGAGTTGAAGACACAGTTGGGCTCCTGAGCCACGGAGGCGGACTCGGAGGGATGGGTCTCGGAGCAGCAGCAGGAGGTTATGAGTGAGCCAGCGGCAGCCGTGACTCCTCAGCCCTCAGAGCCGCATAAGGACAAGAGGGTGACCAGAATGGAGGAGGCCCACGAGGGTAGACCACAGAGATTGGATACTCCCGAGTATGGGCCTAAGAGGGATGAGATGCGAGTGGGGCCAAGCACCCAGGCGCTGGGGATGAGATCAGAGGAGTCGTGGAGCATGCCCCAGAATCACGAGGTGAGCAAAGAGGTCAGTGAGGCACCGTCATCGTCAAGATCCCAGAAGAAGAGGAGGAGGTACCAAAGAAGGTCGGATGATCAGTGCTTCTTCTTCAAGCACGGCATACACAGAGCCCTTGAGTGTCCGAAGTTCCTCAAGGACAAGGCAACCGGAAAAGTGACAGAGAGTGGTGGAAGGATGTATGATAGGCAAGGTCGAGTAGTAGAGCGAGCTCCAGATGGGGGTAGGGCTCAGCTATATAGTCAGAACCAGGAGGAAATGAGTGAGTAGGGACTGGTCGGTCTATACGTCAATAGAACTAGAGTCCCTCGGTACGCAGAGGTCGGATTAGAATGTATATACTTTGAGTGGGCAAGTGGGTCCTAGAGGTGTACGTGTTTGAGTCAGTCGAGAGAGTCCTGTCCAGTTGTACATATATAGACGGCAGTACTGGATAGGTTGTTCGAGCTTTTTGTATATGATACGAGTTAGGAGATGAGGTTCACTTGTGTGATACCTGTGACTATTTAGTTTACGCGTTAATTTTGTGATCCAAGATTCTTTCCGTATTTTTAAGTGGGATCTGAGAGTTCATAACACTCGGGGCATGAGGTTACTCGGCAGAGTGGGATAGTAGACAGAGTGTCTGTGTTGTTTTCGAGATAAACATTCTGTTTCCGAGCATAGTCTATAAGTTGTACATTGAGGACATGAGTTCTGCTCAGTTGAGAGGGATGATGGGTTGAGTGGTTGTACTGGGTTCTTGAGGGAGATATTTCGCTCCTGAGTGTATTTTGACTTCAGACCCTGTGTAACTCATTTTTGTGACGATCACGATCACTCTCACACATGTGGCTTTATCCCAATGTATGATGGCTTTGTGTGAGAGATGTGTAGGATACATCTCATATGTTTTGTTTTGTGTGAATGTGAATACCGTCTACTCTTCGGTATACTTATGCGACCTGCCTAGGGGCGGATGAGAGGGCCGAGTATAAGGGGAGGCAGTGCGGTTGTTTTGTGACAGGAGTGTGAAAACCTTAAGGGATCTTGTGAGTTCATGAGACTCGAGTGCTACCATGCCGAATGTCTCTGGTTGAGTCGTAAAGAGGACTCATAAGCAAGTCCCTCAGTTTGAGTTGTTTTATGGTTGAGACCCCCCCCTCAGAAAAAGGGAGGTGGTAATGTTGTTTGTTGAAAAACTCGCCCTTAAGAGGAGAGGTGTTGTAAAACCAGGTCGCGTGATAGCCCATCCTAGGGAGTCGGATGGCTGGGGGACCTATTGAGAGAGACCTCTTTCGTGTGAAAGGTGGTTAATGAGATTTAAGGGTATGGTAAGCAAAGTATGAACTGATAAAGTCTGACGAGGGGAACCAGAATTACGGCTTGGATCATTGGTGGAACAGAGAAGGTCGCAAGTTAGTGCATTAAGATGTCGTGGGATGTGTGGTCTGTTGTCCCGCAGTGGGCCTGTGGTCTGTTTTGCGATGCACCGTCTAGACACTTGTGCTAATCCTAAGGCATATTGAGGAATACCAAGCTAAACGGTAAAGGTTAGCACCTCTAGGGCACAACCCCTACTGGATGGCTGCGTGCCAGCACAACCTGGCAGCGGGCCCTCGTCTACCAGCGGGGTGAGAGTTTAAGGGGTTATGCACGCCCCAAGGAATTACTCCGGTGGGATGGCGGGGGATACGAGTCGAGTCTTTGGATATTCCTGATTGAATGTTTATCAGGAGAGAACCTATCGTTGCACAACCAACGGAGGGTACTGTCGCTAAGATAACAATGCGATAGGCCGTAGATCTGGCTCGATCAACTAGACTATGGTGGGCCAGGATGGGGACCTAGCTTTTATGTACTAGACTACAGAAAGGGCTGAGATGAGATCAAAAGTGTATATATGTATATATGTGCTTGATTGTGAGGATTTTTGTGAGGGAGGCAAGAGCGCCTTCTGAGGTCCCATTTAAGGCCCGCGTCCCTTGGCATGACCCTGCTTATGAAGAAGGGTCTGGCCGGGACACCCAACGGGAAGCCGGCGTTTGTCTAAGACAAAGGGGAGAGGACGGGTTGTGAGGGCCTTGGAACTTATGCCGTAGTATTGGTGCGTAATACCCCGGCGTCCTAGTGTCAGGACAATGGAAACCCGAGTTGAAACGCTGGCGGCATACCATTGTGTGGGCATAAATTGTTAGAGGCCTCGAACCTTAGTCTGCCGGCTAATCGGATTGGTTCCTTTCTCATCAGCATTTGGAATGCGAATAAATCTATAGCTTTCTGATTCAGCGAAGCGACGGGGACGTCGCTTAATATGGTCCGGTAAGCTATCGGCGCGAATAACCTTACAAGGGTATCCGCCCTGGTTTTTACAAGTGACAGGAAAGACTGGGAGAGGTAGGACTTTCCGGGTGATCGCGCGAGTCGCGGCAGCCGTCCGAGTGTGGATAAGGGTTGTTTAGCATAAGTGTCAGCGCGCAGCTTTAAGACGCGCATGTGATTTCTCCTTTTGATCACGAAAGCTGGCAAGGTTGGCCGGATTAACTTCCTGTTGACTAAGCTAAGGTCTTGGAGGTTGTCAAAAGTCCATTAGCAGGCACGTTTGACCAGTGCTAGGACTGGCACGTGGGTAAGCACGCGGAATGGCCACGGCGCGGGTTCGGTAGGCCGTCGCGGACGCTTAGTGGCCATAGGTGTAAATGCGGGCTGAGGGAATGACCAGGGCGTTTTCGTGGCCCTGAATATGGCGCGACACTACTTTATATACGAGGTCGCGCCTGTTGGTCTCAAGCTGGGGCATAGCCCTATAGGTTACGATGTCAGACTACTGCTATGGAGGTTCAGGGATCGAGGCCAGCGGGCATCGGCGCAGCAGCAGCGGAGCGTCATGGAGAAAACTGAGGGGGTTGAGGGCCCGACGGGGCTATCCCCCCTCGGTTTTTGTCAGTAGGCGCGGCAACGGACCCGATCCACGGGACCGGTAGGGTATCAGCAGTCCCCGCCCCTTGTTTAGGATTTTTTTTATATATGTTATTTTATTTTTGTTTTTATTTATTATTATTATTATTCGTGGTCCCGTTCTGGTTCGCTGGGGGGCGGTGCCGCGGCTGGTAGTTCAAATCCTGAAGAGCCGTGGGTGGGGTACTACCGTGGCTAGGTCCTTTGGGACATCCGTTAATATTGGAACGATGCAGGGAAGATTGGCGCGACCCCTGTGAACGGAGGATATGCATAAATCGAGGGGCGGGGCCGCGGCTGAATGCTGTCGGAGTGTTGAATGCCGTCACACTGCGTGGTGTGAGAGGCCGGGGTGGCGACTGCGGGAGCAAAGAGAGGGGTGAGCACAGCTAGTAGGAGGGAAAAGGAAGCGAGCGGAGCGTAGCAAGCAGCAGGCGGAGTCGGGGGGCGAGGGGGATGAACCCGGATAGGACTCGCGTCGAGGTGCGTTCGGAGGAAGAGCGGTGATCTTGCTTGTTGCTCGACGGAAACGGACGAGCGGAGACGGTAGTTCGGGGTTTTTCGCTATGGCGAACCCGAATTTGAGGTTAGTTTGATTAAGAAGTGAATAGATAAAGAGTCAGTAGGAAGAGCTGCTGCGCGGCGATGTCGGGAAGAAGTGGGTATGGCAGGAGGGAAATGTCATACCATGCCTGATCCTTTATGGAATCAGACGAGGTAAGAGACTAAATCGGGGTTTTCGGGATAGACGATCCTAAATCTATTGTTAAAATTAGTGGAAAACTAATAGAAAAGGGTCGAGGAGGAGAAGAGATTGCGTGAAGGCGGGAAAAGATTTTAATAGTGGGCCAGGATGAATCTTCACAGGCTTAGACGGAAGGTTCGCTGCCTTTTGGCTGGAGTGAGCGTAGAGTTAGTAGTCGGTGGGGTCGTTCAGAGGCTATCGGGGAGACATGTTGGGCGAGTTTAAGTGAGGCGTCAGTGTTGATAGGGAGTTAGCGGGATAGAGGTTAAAGGAAGAGAGGAGACCGGGAAAAAGAGAAAGGATGAATCTGCCCGCACTTTAGCAGAGCATTCCGACTTCTCTCCCTGAATCAGCGGGGGTAGCCTTCTCCATTCTCACAGGAGATCTATTCGGTACGGCCCATCCTAATCGAAGGTAGCGTCGAGGGCCGTAGCGTGGGTCCCACCATGAGATTGGAGACTTACCCGACGGCTGCCGGACCCTCTCTCGGAAGCACCAATCGTAATACTCTCCCGAGTGGAGGGGTATTCGCCCCGTGACTTTGAATGCACGAGGTAGCGCGGGGCAACCAGGTGCAGGAGGGGGCTTAAAGACGAGCAACGGGGCAGGACGAGCGGAAAAGCATTGAGGTGGGGAGGGGAAAGAAGCCCATGAACTTGTGGTGAAGCTGCGTACATGAGGTGTGAAGCTCGTTATAAACTGTTGTTTTCGTATTGGAGCTGCGGTCGGGCTGCCCTTCGCAGATCAAGTATGTGTTTGAAGTCTCCGTCCCGAATTTGCAGCTCTCTATTAGTGATTTTTCAGTCATAGGGTACAGCATTGGCAGCCGGATGCGGTCGGACGCTGGAGCCGGGGATGGAAAGGCAATGAACACGGGGGAAGGACTACGCAGCCGATGCCTACATGCATGGTCTGTCGCTGCAGGAGTAACTAGATCCTGCCCTTCGCTCCACTGCGAAGACGGAGAAGACTGTAAAGCCGGCGAGATGACTGAGTTATTGAAGGAGGAGTTGGGTACAAGCGTGACTGTGTAGGCTGGTCGCGCATGCTGTTGATTCGCGAAATGCTGCAATACACTACGGCGGCAAGCAGTGTATGAATAACTTACCGTTTCCTTCAATTTACATTGGCATGACTACCGCACTGT